CAGTTCGAGTGGCCAAGGTCTGGAACGGGCTCCCAAGGGAGGTGGTGCTCTCCCCTGCCCTGGGGGTCTTCAAGGGGAGGTTGGATATGCATCTAGCTGGGGTCATCTAGCCCCAGCTCTCTTTCCTGCCTATGCAGGGGGTCGGACTCGATGATCTATTGAGGTCCCTTCCGACCCTAACATCTATGAATCTGGTATCCCATGATCACCTCATGGAAAAATTGGCCTCGGCTACACAACCAATCTGATGGTTGGGAAATTAGCTCTGAGGTTGGACCCAGAGAGTCATAGTAGATGGAAGTGAATCACTGTGGTGCTCCATGACCAGTGGTGTCCCTCAAGGCTCTGTCCTTGGACCAGATCTGTTTAACATCTTTATCACTGATGTAGACATTGGTGTCAGAAATGCACTGGCCAAGTTTGCCGATGACACTAAACTTTGGGGCATAGCGTCCACACCTGAGGATAAGCTAGTGATCCAGGCTGACTTGGATAAGCTTAGTAAGTGGGCAGATATAAACCTGATGATGTTCAATACTGAAAAATGCAAAGTACTCCACCTTGGGGAAAAAAACCCTCTGCTGCACGCTTATAGATTTGGCAGTACTATGCTTGCTAGCATCACGGCTGAAAGAGACTTGGGGGTCATGACTGACCGCAAGATGAACATGAGCCACCAATGTGATGTCACAACTGGTAAAGAAAATAAAACTCTGGTTTGCATCCATAGGTGCTTCTCAAGTAACTCTTAGGATGTCATCCTCCCACTGTACTCAGCCTTGGTGAGGCTGCAGCTGAACTACTACATCCAGTTCTGGGCTCCACAATTAAAGAGGGATATCGAGAAGCTTGAAAGAGTCCAGAGGAGAGCCATGCACATGATCAGAGGGCAAGAAAATATGTTTTAAGTTGAGAGGCTGAGAGCCATGCGACTCTTCAGCCTGGAAAAGAGCAGGCTCAGGGGTGATCTGGTGGCTACCTATAAGTACATAAGGGGTGTGCATCAGGATCTGGGGGAACATCTTTTCACTAGAGTGCCCCAAGGGATAACAGGGACCAATGGTCACTAACTCCTCCATGACTATGTTAAGCTGAACATGAGGAAAAACTTCTTTACTGTCTAAGCCCCCAAGGCCTGGAATAGACTCCCTCCAGAAGTGGTGCAAGCACCTACTCTGGACTCATTCAAGAAATGTTTGGATGCTTAATTTGCTGGGATCCTTTGACCCTAGCTGACTTCCTGCCCCTGGGGCAGGGGGCTGGACTTGATGGGCTCTTGAGGGCCCTTCCAGCCCTCTTGAGGTCCCTTCCAGCCCTAATGTCTATGAAATCTATGAAATAAAAATTGTACAACAGAGGTTTTCTGTGGAAACATCTTTCATTTGTCACCTGGCTATGACTATTTCCTTTCTGTTATTCCTATATCATGCACTGATTTTACAAAGTACTTCACATGGAGAGGATGAGAAGGATCTAACATTACATAGGTACTGGTAAACTGTTATTCTGAAAACTGTATGACAAATATAACATTGCTTTCAGGTAAAGCAGGATGAGTTCTGAGTAAATTAGTGTGTTTCTGTGGGCTTATGGAAAAGAAACCCACTCATTGCATTTGAAAATAAAAATGATGCTAAGAAGGCAATTCACTATGTTTCATACATTTCTCATGAATCAACTTAACTTTTAACTAGTTACTCTCTTTTTAACTTACCTTTTAACTAGCTGAAAGTAGAAATACTTAACTTGTAATGCATGTTAATTTTAAAGGTTGTTAACTTTAACTAATTACATTTTTCATAAATTGGACCCATGACTGGGAAAACGTGAAGCTCCTGAGGGAAGGGTGGGAAAGGAGCAGGCAAGCTATGTCCACTGCCAGTGAAGCAGGCAAACAGTGGCATGATGATCCCCCACCTGCCCAAAGCCCTCTTTGCAAGTCTGTCCCCAGAATGTGGTCAACAGACCCATATCCCAGGCTCTGGGTGACCAGCGGCTGCTACAGGCCACCCCTGTGGCCCAGCCCTCTCCCAGGCTGTTGTGGCTGAGAAGCCAGGAAGTGATGGGCCTGGTGCAGGGATGCAGGGGCAAGGGGAGTTGGTGAGTTGCCCTGCCCTGCCCTTTGAAAACACAGGACCCTAGTCCACTAATTGCTTGAGAGATGTTTGTCTTTTAACACTGGGCAGACCAGTCACCCTCTCCTCTCTCCTTTTTCTGGAGAGTAGCCAAGGAAACACAACACCATGCACGTAAGTCCTGGCCACATGCCAGGAAATGATGGACCTGAGCTGCCTCGACTGGCTCCCAGGGTCTGGGTTCCACTGGACCACGCTGCACGGCACTGCCAACTCCGTGTTCCCAGCCTCACACTGGAGGTGACAGACTTGAGCTGCCTCATGCAGTTCCCAGGATTTGAGGCTCCGTGCACTGCTGTGTGTACCAAGGATCTGGCCCCACATTGGGGGTTGCAGACCTGAGCTGCCTTGTGAGGCTCCCAGGGTCTTGGGCTGTTTGTGCTGCTGCTTGCACCAAGTGTATGGAGAATTGAGCTGCTTCACACAGCTCTCAGGGTCTCAACCCATGCGCCACACTACACACAGACTGGGACTGAACTGTCCACTGCTTCTGTCCAGCAAGAGGCGTCTTCAGGACAACAGCATCTGCCCGCTGAGCTGCTCTTCCCAGCTTTTCTTAGCCCTGCTCTTTTCTCCATTCCTCAATGCGTCTGCTGTGTGCTGGACACACTACTTCTTTCATACTCTCCAGAGGCTCTGTCCCCGAGTGCTGTTGGACCTGCAAGGGGCACGCTTCATCCAGGACTAGAGCTCTTTACCCCCCGCCCCTCTCGGGCAGGGGCGAGGCCGGCCCCTCTTATCAATTACCTGATTGGCAGACGTGCTCCACCAATCACAACGAAGCTCCTCCGAGCCCATGTGTGCTGGGCTGTATCGGTAAGTCCACCACATGAATATTAATGAGAAGCAATACACCCTGATGCAATTTGTGCCTGAGTTGATTGCTCCTGGGCATAGCATTTACACGTGTCCAGAACCACAGCATGTTGAGCTGAAATGGTTCAGCCCCAGCTCACAGCAGGCCTGGGGCATCATTCTGCCAGTCCAGGGCTGTTTCAGCGCAGGCCTACATGCTATGGAGGGTGTGGATGGGGGATGAGGGTGCTACTGCAGGGCTGCCTGGCAGGCAGCCCCTCACTGTAGTACCTTCATGCCCCAGCCAGCCCCAGTCACCATCTACACATGCATTGTGGTGGACAAAATAACACTGCCATAGAATGGTACTTGTGTACTATCTTATGGTGGAGTTAATTAATTTACTTTGGCCCAATAGCACTGCTTATATAGATGATGACACTTTACTGTGAAGCTAATTAGGCAACTGGTAATTAGTATAGATGTACCCACTCTATCCAGTTTCTAGTCCCCCACTACAGAAAGGATGTGGAAAAATTGGGGAGAGTCCAATGGAGGGCAACAAAAATGTTAAGGGGGCTGGGGCATATGTAGTATGAGGAAAGGCTTAGGGAAACATGTTTATTTAGTCTGGAGAAGAAAATAGTGAGGTGAGGATTTAATACTAGTCTTTAATTACCGGAAGGGTAGTTCAAAAGAGGATGGAGCTGGACTGTTCTCAGTTGTGGCAGATGACAGAGCAAGGAGCAATGGTCTTAAGTTGCAGCAAGGGAAGTTTACGTTAGATATTCGGAAAAAAAAAAAACTCTCTCACTAGGAGGATAGTAAAACACTTGAACAGGTTACCTAGGGAGGTTGTGGAATCTCCATCCTTGGCTGGGACGATCTAGATAGAGATGCTTCTGCTTTGAGTAGGGGGTTGCCCTAGATGATGTCCTGAGGTCCCTTCCAACCCTAATTTTCTATGATGCTATGATAATCACTTGCAGGCTGTGACATCTAACTCCAGCCTTGCCTCCAGTGAATCTGACAAGATTCCCATCCTTCCTCTGCTTGGACTGTACCGTATCCACAGTTTTGGGTAGTTTCTTTGTAGATGTGAGTTCAAATTCCACAGGAAGAAATGGGGATTGAATTCTTATTTCTCTTGTGTTGGGTGGGCAACTTAATCTTTTTAAGGTTCTGCATAAAAGAGCACCATTATTCACAAACATTAATTTGGAAGTCAAAATATAATATTTTTTTATTTTTTCCCAACTGAACATATTTGACAAAAAGTCCTTCATTTGTTATCAGCTCCATGTAAATTGAACCCATGCATTTTCTTTGAAAATGTGGATGTATGATATTTGTCATGGGAACAGAACCAGAACCAAGGTAATCCTCCTCCATACTGTAGATCCTTTAGAAAAGAGTACACCTTTAAACATAAGTCTTTAGGGAAACTGTATTGGTTGCATATCAGATTATTAATGTTGCCAACTATAATCATAGTTTCTTAATGTGTTTCTGTTAAGACTGTGGAAAAACTTACATGCACTGGTTAAAGCCAAGATTGTATAGTGCAGTGAATCCTGATTGCTAGACAGCACAGAGCAGCCAAGTCATTTGAGTGGTTTGTCCAAGTTTCTTCAATGAAGACAAAGGAAACATTTTCCACAATTTGTCCAAAGCACCCTTCACCTCCTTGTATCTCAGGCTGTAGATCAGCGGGTTCAGCATGGGGGTAACCACAGTGTAAAAAGCAGAAGCCACGTTGTCTTGTCCATTATGACTGGAACTTGGTTGCAGGTACACAAAGAAACCGGCCCCATAGAACAAGGAAACAACAGTCAAATGGGATCCACATGTATTAAAGGCTTTGGACCTGTTCCGTGCAGAGCTCATCCTCAGGATGGTGGCCAGGATGTAAATGTAGGAGATCAAAATAACTGATACAGTGCCTGTCCCATTTACACTAATAAAGGCAAGGACCACCATCTTATTGTTATCACTACAAGAACAGGAGAGCTTCAGCAGTGGGTTAATATCACAGTAAAAATGATTGATTATGTTGGACCCACAGAGGGAACCTCCAAGAAAACAACCCGTGTATATCAGTGCACCAAGAAAGCCAATGAGATAGCAAGCTATTACCATCTGAATACAGATTCTGTTAGACATGATTATCACATAAAGAAGTGGGTTACAGATAGCTACGTAACAGTCATAGGCCATGACAGCCAGAAGGTAACACTCAACAAGCACAAAACCAACAAAAATGTAGCACTGTACTATACATCCAGCAAAGGAAATGGCTTTGCTGTCTGAGAGCAAAGCCACCAACATGTTGGGAGTGATGGTTGTGGAGTAACAAGCATCAACAAATGAGAAGTGGCTGAGGAAGTAGTACATGGGTGTATGCAGCTGAGGACTGACTCTGACCAAGGCCATGATTCCAAGGTTCCCCACCATGGTGGTAAGGTATATCAGAAGAAACACCACAAAGAGGACAGCCTGCATGCCTGCACTTTCTGTTAGTCCCAAGAGAATGAACTCTTGGAACGTGGTGTTACCTCCTGTGACCATTTCTTCCCTGGGCAATGGCTGTTGAGAGAAGAAAGCAGACATCAGCTAAAATGGAGAAAGAGTTGGGTTTTTGCTTCTTCCAGAATTTAACTTTCATCATTATTGTAATCATAACAGTTACTATAGGATATATTGCATTTATTTTCTATTTGGGGAGAAAAATGAAATCTTTCTACTTGTTAAGAATTGTGGGGGGTGAGGTGTGTGTGTGTGTGTGTATATATATATATATATATATATATAATTCCTTCTCAGGAGTTAGTTTTCTGATCTTAAACCAGTCCAATATGTTTTTAAAGAACCCAGTAAAAATCCCCCCTCATCTCCAGCGTATCTCCACACAAGAAGTGGTATAGCAAATAGAAGTGTATTTTCTTGTAAATATGAGTTCATATTTTAGGGCGAAACCACATTCCATTTCAACGTATCTCAATGACACATGCTCTGGCATATAACCATGGCTTTATATATATATATATGGACACAATTTGGAATATTATTTCAGCTGTGGCAAAGTGGAATCCTGTCTCGGCATCTTTAGAAACTTAAATGAAAGTTAGCTTCCCCTCCCCCAACTTTTAGCCCAGCAATCCAATGCTGAGAGGCCTGCTTGAGAAAATAGAATATACCCTTTCTAGCCCCTTGTAACCTAGGGTGAAGGTGAGGGCCGAGGGAGCAGGGGGTGGGGGTGAAGAGTTTAAAGCTGAATTTCTTGCTTCTAAGCAAAGTGCTCTAATGGCTTCACCAGAGGCATAGCTAGGAATTTGGACATTGAGCAGAAGGCGGTAGTGGGGGGCTGGCAATGCCCAGTGCGGTGGTGCCTCATTTCCCAGCACAAGGTCCACTGCTTCTGCTGGGAAGTAGCTCCGTGCTTGCTCGCTCCTAGTTACAGTACTGAACTAGACAATAGAGTAAGCACTCTCCATGTCCCTGTGCATCCCTCCAGGCTCTGAAGCTGAACTACTGGGCAATTCAAGCAGGGAGCTATGTGGGCCAAGAGGAAGAGAACAAGTCATATCATCTAACAACTATGATAAGTGTACCTGTCTTCAAAGAAATACAGTTAACATGGTAAAGACCAAAACAAACAAAGAAATAACTCTGATTTTATGCCGTATTTTAGATTGATTTCTTGAATAAAAGAAAAGCTTGAACATATAAAGTGCTCTTTAGTGTGACGATGCAGTAGTTCCAAGTTTGAAAAATAAATTCAGCTCTCATTCAAAACTTTGTTGTTTTAAGATTGTCCTGACTTGGGTTTAATGTATTACAAGCTAGAGTCACTCATCCTTAAGGCTTGAGTGAAGACACTAGTCTTTTGGTAAGGTAGGTCCTAAGGTATAGATGACAGAGTGCCAAGGGACTGATGCACAGAATGAAGTTTATTCAGAACTGGAGTCCTGTCTAAACTCTATTTTGATATCCCATACTTTACCCTGAATTAGTAAGATGCAGAAAATCTGAACTTCTATGTTTATTAGGACTTTTTAATGCAAAGTTCAATGCATAATTAAACACTAATAACACCTATGAATACTATAGTGAATACAACATACAAAACAAACCCATATTAATCAGTTATTCTGGTTTAAAACCAGTAGCTACTTGGCCTAAATTATGACCTGGAGATTAAGGAAAGGAAAGGAAAGTATTTGTCTCAGGATCATGATCTTTCCTTTTCTGGATTAATTATTTGGTGAAAAGTAAAACTTTTATTAAGAAACCCAAACATTTTATAGCATTATTAAATTTTCCCACTGCTGAATGGATTTTTTTTACATTATCCTTTTTCAAGCAGACACTTCAGAGATTAGGATCAGCCTGTGCAGAATCCTGAGATTCAATGCCAAGTGCTTCTGGCTTTGTGGAAAAAAATAGTGGAACTGTGTAAGATGCATCACTTTGGACACTTTAGTCCTCATTTCCTTCTTATGATGCTTCAGCAGCTTAAAAATCAATCACGGCAATGAATTATGTGAGAGAAGAATCAGACACTTGGTTGTAACTTGAGCCTCCCTATGTCCATCTAGTCCCTCTTAGACCTATTACCTCTAGCTTACAAATGTACTAGAAGATATATATATATATTACATATCACGAAATGTTTTTAGTTTCCCTTGTGTCAGTAATTTAATTTTCTATCTCATTCTCACCCTTACAAATGCATGCACACATATATACAAACAGGTCTTACCTTGGTGGAACTTAACTGTCCAGCAAACAAAATCAAATGTGGGGAGTTATGAATCAAAGACCCCTTCAAACAGGTTTTAATCAGGACAGAGTTGTATAACCTTGTGCTTGGCATTAAGTTACACTTATTCAGGCTGCATCACTCAGTGGCAGATACAAGTGCAATTTAAGGACTGAAACCTGCTCACAAACATAACCTCTGGGTTTGGCACTGTTTCTGAATAGACAAAAGAGTCCATTTGCTCGCTCTTCGATTTCTGTCTCAGAGGTTGCAAACAAGTGGCCCACCCATCTGGTGCTGAGAATACTGAATTTCCCCTTTGAATCTGATGTTTGTACTCTGGATGATGCAAGTATTTCTAGAGATAGTCTAAGACTCTGGGAGCATCACACCAGGGGTGTTTTATTCCCTGTTCATTTATGGGAGCCAAGGGAATTATATGCATGAAGACACTAAGGAAGCCACTATGAAACTGCAAGTATCTGAATGGCATCAGCTGGAAGAAACACCACCAAAGATGAAGATGAAGGGACTGGCACTGAAAGAGAAGTGTCCTCCTCCAAAGCATGCTAAACTGTACAGCTCCAACATAAGAGAATGTAGAAGAATTGTGGGTTAGGGTACATGGAGGACAAGGGGACAGAGATTTGGTGGTAGGGGTCTGTTACAGACTCCCACACCAAGGAGAAGAACTAGATTTGGAAGTCCTGAGGCAGCTCTCAGAGACCATAAAGGCTAGGGAGGCAGTAGTCATGGGGGACCTAAACTACCCGGACATCTGCTGGGAGATGCAGACAGCAAATTCCCACCATTCCCACAGGTTCCTATCTTGTGTACAGGACCTCCACCTGACGCAGGAGGTACATGGTCCCACTAGGGGGAATGCCTTACTAGACCTGGTATTGGCAACAGGGGATGACATGGTAGCATACCTACAGATCAGCGGTCACCTGGTGGACAGTGACCACCAAATAATAGAATTCGTCATAAGGCATAGAGTGGGTAAGGTAACTAGTAGGGTGGAAGTGCTAGACTTTAAGAAGGCTGACTTCAGCAAACTCAGGCATTTAGTCTATGACGCACTGCAGAGTAAGAGCTTTAGCGAGATGGGAGCCCAGGAAGGGTGGCTGTGCTTTAAGGAAATGATCCTTTGGGCACAGAAGGAGACGATCCCAATGTGGAGGAAAGTGGGGAAAGGGGCCAAGAAGCTTCCCTGGCTGACCAGAGAAATCCAGAGCAGCCTAAGGGCAAAAAAGTGGGGCATATAAGCAGTGGAAACAGGGAGAGATTACTAAAGAGGAGTATACCTCCTCAGCTCGCAGTTGTAGGGAGGCAGTTAGAAAGGCCAAAGCTATCACAAAGATGAGGATGGCATCTGAAGTTAAGAATAACAAAAATTTGTTTTTCAGATATATAGGGAGAAAAAGAAAGGCCCAGGATGGAATACAACCGCTACTGAATGGACAAAAGCAATTGGTGACAGACAGGGGGGACAAGGCATAACTCCTCAATAAGTTCTTTGCCTCAGTGTTCCTAAACAAGGGGCAAGACAAGTCTCACAATGGGATTGTAGAGAGACAACAGCAGGGTGCCACACTACCAAGCATTAGTCACTTGGAGGAACTGGATGCGTTTAAGTTGGCAGGCCCGGATGAGCTCCATCCGAGGGTACTGAAGGCACTGGCTAACGTCATTGCACAGCCACTGGCAAGAATATTTGAGCACTCGTGGCGCACGGGCCAGGTCCTGGAGGACTGGAAAAGGGCCAATGTGGTCCCTATTTTCAAGAAGGGGAGGAAGGAGGATCCAGGCAACTATAGGCCAGTCAGTCTCACCTCCATCCTTGGCAAAGTCTTTGAAAAGATTATTAAGGCTCATATATGCGAGTCCAGCAGGAAAAAAATATGCCGAGGGGAAACCAGCACGGGTTTGTAGCAGGTAGATCATGCCTGACTAATCTAGTCTCTTTTTACAACCAGGTTACAAAACAACTGGACGCAGGAGTAGGTGTTGACATCATCTACACTGGACTTCAGGAAGGGCTTCGATATGGTATCCCACACCATACTGGTGAACAAGTTAAGAGGTTGTGACTTGAATGATTACACAGTCTGGTGGGTGGCAAATTGGCTGGACGGTCAAACCCAGAGAGTGGTGCTGGATGTGTCGGTATCCACCTGGAAGGACATGGGCAGTGGGGGCCCGCAGGGCTCGGTCCTTGGACTGATGCTCTTCAATATGTTCATCAGTGACTTGGACGAGGGAGTGAAGTGTACTCTGTCCAAGTCTGCAGATGATACAAAACTGTGGGGAGAGATGGACACACTGGAGGTCAGGGAACAACTACAGGGAGACCTGGACAGGTTGGACAAATGGCCAGAAAACAATAGAATGCAGTTTAAGAAGGAGAAATGCAAAGTGCTGCACCTAGGGAGGAAAAATGTCCAGCACACCTACTGCCTAGGAAATGACCTGCTTGGTGGCACGGAAGCAGAAAGGGATTTTGGAGTCCTAGTGGACTCCAAGATGAATATGAGTCGTCAGTGTGATGAAGTTATCAGAAACTCTAACTGCAATTTATCATGCATCAGCAGATGCATGACAAATAGAACCAAGGAGGTGATACTTCCCCCCTATCGGGCACTGGTCAGACCGCAGTTGGAATACTACGTCCAGTTTTGGGCACCACACTTCAAGAGGGATGTGGATAACCTGGAGAGGGTCCAGAGAACGGCCACTCCTATGGTTAAGGGCTTGCAGGCCAAGCCCTATGAAGAGAGACTAGGGCACCTGGACCTCTTTAGCCTCCGCAAGAGAAGGTTGA